TGGCAAGGCAGGTGAGAAGTATTTATCCAGAAAGACCTTCTCAAGCTGAGCCCATGTCGTGATGGAACTTGGTGTTAAGTTCTGAAACCAGTGTGATGCATTCCCTATCAGAGAGAATGAGAACATCCGAAGACGAATTGCATCATCGGACACAGTTGGGCTCTTCATCGTATCACATATGCTCGCGAACCGGCAGAGATGTTCATGAGGATCCTCACTGCTAGCCCCAGAGAAAGTATACTCGTTGGTGATCATGTTGATGAATGCTGGGGTAATCTCCATGGTTGCATCCCCAGCCGGAATGACAACACATGAAGCTCAGGCTCCAGTCCTGCGATTCAAGCGAGCCCTGATCGAACGATCCTCGTCTGCGATGTTGCGTAGTGGTGGTGGTGGTGTAGGACGACAGGTGATGAAGCCTGCCCTCTCTGTTGACGACTATGGGTTAGGGAAGGCCTAGGAGTTGTGGTTGGCTACTTCCCTAACTTGACCTGCTTCCTGTTCTGCCGGCAGGTCTTCTCGATCTCCGGATCTAGTGGCAGTAAATCGTCGGTCATCCTCCTAGGCATGCACAAGGAGGATAAACCTGATAATTCACCTGCACACTAGCACACGGATTAAAACAGTTCACTCACAAAAATCAATAAAAATAAGGTTTGGCAGTCCCCGGCAACGGCGCCAAAACTTGATATGTCAAAAGCGTAATGCCTGAATCCTATCTCGAAGTAAACCGGAAGTGCGGGTATCGTCTCTCAGAGACTGGTACAACCTTCTATTCTATCGACTTTATAGAGCTAACTATAGGTGAAAAGGTTTTAGTGATGAAACTACTATCTAATAATTAAATAAAATAAGCAACTAAAATTGCCGGGTTCAAATCAATGGGAGAAAGCTCTGGGAGAAACACCGGGATTCACTACCTATCCTATCTAGATTAGTTCACATATTCTAATCAATTTAATCTAACTCTCTACAGACAGCATATCACGAATGTGTTAGCTATCCCTGTCGGGAATTACTACGTACTAAACAATTAAATCAAATCCTACTGTAGTAGCTCAATGACTTAATTATTTAGCCTGAAGATCGATATCCTATTTAAGACCGCATAGCACCTTATTTAATCCACTGTCGCTTCGATAAGTTACTATGTCACATGAAATATGTTCAGTTATTAGGGTTTCACTGTCGCTAATAACCTAATTAACAACAAATCAATGTATTGGTGGCCAGTCAACACAAAGCGGTAAGTAATATCATGCAATAGAGATTGGAAGAAAAGAAATATGAATCAATCCATCAATTCTAAAAATAGCTACATCCTATGGTGTTTCCCCCAGAAATCGGGGTTTTGTTCATGACGAAATCAAAAGATATAATCATGTTATTAATCATCATAAAACTAATCACAAAGAAAAGAATGAAAATACTAGATTTCCTTCTCCTCCAGGTTGCCAGCTGTTCGGTGCGACTCCCAACTACGCTCAGCTCCGCGTTGTGCTCGTATGTTCCTCATTAGGATTGGCAATGGCATCCGAATTTCGGGGTACCCGGCCGGCAATAGGCTTGGCAAATATCCAACCCATCCCAATTCAATCTGCCGACCGCCGCTACTGACTTCATAGCATCTACCTCCGGGAAAATAAATTTGGACTGATGCGTACAGAGGGAGAGGGATGTGACGATGAAAAAGAGGAGAGGGGTTAAGTTTTAAAATCCCCTCCTCGCAACAAACTTCAAAGCAACAACCAATTTTGGTCCCTTCCCTTTCTTCCTCAGTGTTTTCTCTAGAAACCCCTAACTCCCACCACTCCTCCACTAAAAAATTGGCCGCCTCCGCCGCCAACCTCAATTCCCACTCAACCCACCAACCTGTCGTAGTCCGATTCCACCACTCCATTCTCCCACACGCTCTTCTCTCGCATCCGGCTAGCTACCCCAGTTGACGCCCCCCACGTCCACAAGCTCATCAACCAAATGGTAGTCTTCGAGAAGCTCACACAGCTGAAGCATTTCAGGTATTTAATCGGGGTCGAATAAATTTGATACCCGTTAGGGCTCGGGAGTGGTATGAATTATACATCCCTGAATGCACTACGGGCGGGTTCGGGGATTACCTGATTTGCAATCGAACGGGTAATGGATAGTGGGAAACCGTCCCCGATCCACCCCGTTGCCATGCCTATTCCTCATCCCGTTGCGCTGCTACTGCTTCCAATTAATCCAAAAGAGATTTCCCTGTCCGTGTCCAATTCCCCAAAAAGAATTCCCCAAATAATTACCTGCTGCTCTCCTCCTCTTTTCTTTCGCCCAAAAGAAAGTCCCCAATAATAGCCAGCCGACCTGCAATTTCCGTCCCCAGCCAAATTCCTTTCCCCTCCGCCATTAATTTTTTATCCAATCTAGCTGGGCCTTGAGCCCAGTCCGTGTCCCTCCATCAATTGGGCTTTAGCCCAATGATTTGATGTGGAAGAAATATGGATCCAATTCCTCCCGCCATCTCCTGCTTCGGAAGTTTCAGTGCTGCCATTTTATCTATTTTTTTCACCTAAACACACACCAAAACTCCAACACAAAATGGTAATGGCTTTTCAACCATTACGGATTAATTCCCCCTAAAATAGCACCAATCGGCTTAAACATACCGTGAGATAGTCACATAAAGCTCAAGAATCCGATATATTAAAGCCGATTATCACATCACATCGTTGATCTTTAAAGGTTTGGATGGAGGTACAAAATTGAGTGAGGTAAGGAACTCTGGTATGGGAAACATGCCCTAACCTAAAGTGCCATAAATCAAAAACTATAGCCCTAGCAGCAGTGAGGAGTTTAGGTTTGCAGTCTACTTCTAAGTGGTAAAGACCATTGACGAGCCTAGCAGAACCAGTCATTCTCTTCATCGCCTGGTCCTGTATGAGACAAAAGTCAGAGTAAAATGTCAAGTAGAAAGGTTTGCTAGTTGTGAGTTTGCTCACACAAACAAGGTTGAATGTGAAGTGAGGAACAAAAAGAACTCCTTCAAGAATAAGGGAAGAACTGCAAGTAGCAGTGCCAATGTGTGCGGCTTGGATTTGTTCTCCTGCAGGTAAGGTAATGAAAACATTATCTACCTTCCTATAGTTAGACAGATAAGCCAAAGAGCAGGTAATATGATCTGAAGCTCCAGTGTCAAGAATCCAGTCAGTATGATTCTTGAAATGTGCTCCTTTAGTGGGGATGGAACAAAGGTATTTACCCGGAGATGGTGCTTGAGAAACATAAGCAGCTGCTGAGAAAGAACCATGGTGAGTGTTCATTAAAGCCATCAGTCTGTCATAATCCTTCTTGGTGAGCTTGACCTCTTGTTCAGATGAGTCAACAACAACAGAGTTGACAGATTCCTTTTCTCTGTTGTTTGAAAAAGAGGCAGATCTGGCAGCCAAGTGAGGAGGTAAACCATGTCTTTGAAAGCAACGATCTTCAGTGTGTCCTGATCATTTGCAATAAGTGCACTCAATTGGCTTCACAGGAGCTGCTGATGGTCTTTGACTCATGCCAGGAGGCTGATAGCAAATGTCAATAGTGTGACCTTCTTTCTTACAGTGAGTACAAAAAGGATGTTTAGCAGGTGAGGAAATCTCCTGTTGCCTCCTTGTATAGCCATTGCCATAGAATCAGAACTAGCAGAAGCTACCATCTTTCCCTTTTGTGTGCCATAGATATGTCTCTCATGCTGGAAGAGTCTTTGAAAAACTCTATTGATTGTAGGTAAGTCATCTCCAAAGAGAACTTGGGCTCGAACACCAGCATAGTTTTCATTCAAACCCCTTAGAAATTTAATGACATAATTTGTGTCATGATACTCTAAGACTTTCTTCATAGCTCGACACTCTGTATGACTAGTAGGAGTACAGTCACATGGGAACAAAGGCTGGTAATTGTCTAGCTCATCTTTGAGAGTTATGACAGTGCCATAGTACTCTGTAATTGTTTGGTTACCTTGATGCAAAGAAGACAGGGCTTCTTCTAACTCATCAACACGAATAAGGTCACTAGAACCATACCTAGATTGTAGACTCTTCCAGGCATCAGCTACTGTCTTGATAGAAAATATAGTCTTGCGAATTTCTAAGTCAACTGCTTGCTGAATCCAACTCAGAATCATGATGTTGTTGCGGATCCAAGCTCCATGTAGCAGATCTGTAGGAGCCGGCTCAGGAATGAGGTCATTGATAAAACCAAGTTTGTTCTTGGCAACAAGAGTATTGTACATAGCTTTGCTCCAATCGTTATAATTAGTAGAGGTGAGTTTCTCACTGACGAGAAGAAGGCCAGGCTGTGCAGATCCATGTAAGAATAATGGATCTTCAAGCTGGTAAAGGTTTTGTGGAGGTTGGGGTTGTGGTTGAGGTGGTGGTTCTGGAGGGAGTTTTAAACCATCATTGTTAGCGTTTTCAGCCATGGCGGCGGAGCAAGTTTAGGTGGAGGGCTTTGATTCCATAACAAAGGTTGAAACCCTAAGGCTTAAGGGTTAATACTTTATTTTGGCCCGAACTATACTCATATAATCAACTTTGGCCAGTGGTTTTAGAAATTTCCATCGTAGCCTCAATTATGCACCATATAGACCCAATTCGCCCGATCCATGGTTTGACCGTCAGTTTTGACGGTCAACACTGTTGACCGTTAGTCAATGGTCCAAGTCACTGCCATGTCAACACAAAACCAAAAAAAAAATCAAATTTTTTTATTGTTTTCTTTATCTAATTAATAAAAAAATACTAAAAAAAATTAAAGCAAACTAATATCGGCCCCTACCTCGCCTCCGCATGTCCTCGAACTCTGGCGGAAGATATGCGGCACCGCATGTCCTTCTACCAACCATCCCGACCTAGCCTCCGACATTCGAGCGCGGCCACCGCTCCTTCTTCTCCGACTCCTTACTCGCCATCGACCACTACCTCTCCACCTAACCCTTTAATTTAACCCTTTTTTTATTATTTATCTATAAATCAGCTTCCCTTCCATTCCCCATCCAACCCATAAACCAATCCCAATTTGCCAACCCCAGAAGAAAAGGAAAAAAATCTCAATCTCCGTCGCAAACGAAGAACAAGGAAGGACGAAAATGGTGAAGAAATTGTTGTTATCTCCGTCGCCGGCTCCGGAAAGTCGACTTTCACACAGACTAGCAACCTCTTGAGCTAGTACTTGAAGGCCGGGAAAGCCAATCTGGGAGATATTAGCCTCGCCGCCAAGTTCGATCACCAGCAGCCTCCGGTTAATTACAAATCTTCAACAGGTAATTAATTGGCTGTTTAATTAATCATCAGACATCACTCCTTTGTCTCGGTGAAGAAAATGGAATTTAAATTTTCGAGATCCAAATGAAATCAGATCTGAAACTTGTAGATTTCTGTTTCTTATTTTGATTTTACAGCAGCTGAGCCGACCACGACGCTGGACCTTCTGCCCGGCATCAGCCGCTCCTCTGCCAATCGGGAGGGAGAGCGCAGCGAATTATACGACGGGAAGCCTCTGCCTCGGTTCGCCGGGTACGGATCTACGACGATTGGTGCAGGCGGAGGAGAAGCTGAGGGTGAGCTGGATCGTAATCGATCTGGTTAAGGCGGTCGGTCGGCTGGAGGAGAAGCTAAGGGTGCAACTGAAATTCTTGACGGTGGTGGGGAAAGAGGAAGGAAGCGGGGGAGGCGGCGAAGTGCGGGGTGGCGGTCACGTGCGGCGGAGAGGAAGGAGGGGAAATTTCTATTTAATTTTTCAGTTTATCCTTTTAATTTTATATATTATTACATTATTAAATTTTTATTAATATTTATTTTTCTCATGGCATCCACGTCAGCATGCTATGCTGATTCACTAACAGTCAACATCGTTGACCATTTAATTTGACGGAAATTTACAAGTCGGGCCAATTGAGTCTATATAGTGCATAGTTGAGGCCACGATAGGAATTTCTGAAACCACTGGCCAAAGTTGATTATATGGGTATAGTTCGAGCCAGAATAAGACATTAACCCAAGGCTTAAAGCCTTTCTCATTGATTCATCTGGTTCTTATATTGAACCCATTACAGAACAAGACAAGCATACACAACTACATGTTGTTTGTTTGCTTGAAATGGAAACAACCTCAAGCTTGGCAGGAAAGTAAACACAGAGTCGAAGAAAGGCAAAAACGACACAGCATTGGATGGATAAAGTAAAACGGTGCACTTAATCAAAACGGTGTGGATCAGTGTCTTGAATCATCTTCTTTGTCAGTCAAATGCCGCTCTTCTCCAACAGTCGAAGTGGGACTGATTAGGGATTTGAAATCCTGGGCTGTTAGATACCCTAGGTGGCGGCGTTCAGAGAAGACAGAGAGCTTGTCGGCGGCGACGAACAGAGAGTTAGCCGGTCGCTGTTCTGGTTTTCTCGCCGCCTCATCACCAAGCTCCTCGACCTCAATCAGGCCAGTCGAATCACCATCTCCAAAGTCATCGAGTATTCCTAGTTTAGAAAGAAGGAATATATTTTGATTCGTGGCTCTGCTCCTTCCCCTGTTTGTTGCGTCTTTTTTTCCAGATTTGGTGTTGGTTTTAGGCTTTTTTGTAGTTCATTTGTTCGATTGTTATAGGCTTTGCTGGATTTTTTTCTCTTCCTCTCATGGTTTCAATTGATGGTAAATTGAATGGTGGAAGAAGGTTGATTAGGGTAAATAGAATGGAAGTTCCTGGGTTTTGGCGGCGGGACGATGGGCAGATTTGGAGTAGAGACATGGTTGAATGGGCACTACACACTACAGAGCAAAGAAATAATTGAATGGGCAGATTTGGATTAGAGAAGAATGGGCAGCTTTTTCTGGGTTCCAGAGAATTGAAATTGAATGTTGAGAAGGAGAAGAAGAACCTCGAAGTTAGGGGTGGGCAACCGGTTCGGTAAACCCGAACTGAACCAAAGTAAACCGAACAGAAACCGAATTAATGCTATTCGGTTCGGAATTCGGAAGAAAAATATGGATAGTTCGGAAACCAGGGTTCTCTTAACCGAACAGAATTTCCGACCGAAAAACCGAAATACTATAATTGCAAGCTCCAAATGGTGGATTTTATGTTTGCAGTTTTTTTAGACTTAAATATTTGAAATGTTTTATGACTTATGTGTTGAAAAGTTTGATTTTATCATTGATGATGCATATAATTACATATTTATTGTTTATATTAGGGGTAAAAAATAATTTAAAAGTGAGAAGATACAAATAGCTTCACAAATTCAGTTTTGCGTGAAAAATCAAACCGAACCGAATTATAATTCGGTGTAAACCGACCGAACCGAATTATAATTTGATTCGAATTAGGTTTGAGATTTGAGAGAATTCGAGGACCCAGTATTCACAATTTCGGTTCGGTCGAAGCCGAACCGACCGAATACCGTGGGTATAGGGTAATAATGTAATTTTGATTTTTTTTTACGAAATACCACATACAAATAACTCGTTCAACCAAATAAGACAATTGAAATTAAAATACCACATTTCAATATCAAATAACTCTGAAATACCACACATATAAAAAATAAGTTGTTTGTGCACAAAGACCACACTCCAACAAATAATCAATCCAAAAAACCCTAAGTTACTAACACCATTTACTGTCGTCTGCAACTAGCTCCCACCCTAAAATATAGTGATAGATTTTATTTTGAAATATTCTCATAAATTTGTAGATCATAATAGATCACGATAAACCCGTTCCTTATATGCAATTATTTTAAAAAAAAAATTTGAGCTAAAAACAAAGGTGACCGGTATAAAGTAACAATTCTTTTTCTCAAAATATATAAACCCGTTCCTTATATGAACCTCGTTCCATATGTGCAATTTTTTTATTCCAATTAAAAAAGGTAGGGATATAAAAAAATAATCTCACCTTTAAATTCAACTCCACTCAAAATAAAGAGATCATATATAACTATGAAAAATGCATAATCAAAAGTTGTGGACCTTCTAAAAACAAAAGTTAGTCCAATAAGGAGATCATATGAGCACACGACAATTGAAATCTTGCATTCTCTAGTCAATTCTCCAATGTCATGCAAGAACTTTTGAGCTCAACGTCGTGTGGTAATCATGTGCCAATATCTGTACCTCCAGCTGAGAGAAAGAGGCGTGCTGAAGAAGCTCAACAATCTGCAACTGCTAATGGTTCAGCTGCCGACAATAACAGAGGCCCTGTCCTGTAAGTGTGCTGCTACTGTTGATTCAGAATCTGCCGCATGGAACCACAAGCATGATGTTGCATGTCTTGTTCCAGCAGGTTCAAGGAAGTCCGGATGGTGGAAGCTAAGCCTGGCATTGCATTCGTTGAATTCGAAGTTATCCATGGCCATGCAGGCACTTCAAAATCACTCCTCAAAACCCAATGGCCATCAGTTTTGCCAACAAGTAGTAGGGTTGCTTGTCTTCTACATGTAATTTGTGGATTAAGGAGAGTCATGCTAACAAAACCAGGCCTCCTGAAACTGAGTTAGAGTGATCATGTATCTGATCAGGATCAATGTTATGTTATTGTAGACCCACCATCAACAGAATCTTAGCTAGCCAGTTCTTTTGAGTCAGTTTCTACCTCTTCTCGTTCAATCATGGACTGTTTACCAGCGTATGAATCATCGTCTAGTCAGTATAATGCACCAGTTTCATTTGTAATCAAATATATAAAAACTTAATAAATAAAAAACGAAGCAAGATCTATTTTACACCTTAATTAATCCCAGTCAAATAAAGTAATCAACATTCAAACTCAAAACCTATAACCCAAAGAAGTAAACTACATAGAACAATCTTTATAATCCATTAACCATGACAGTTAGTCTGTAAGCCTATAGCTCGTCATAAGAACCCTCTTCATCATCTTCTTCACCATCACTCCTTCCACTCTGCTGCTGCTGTTCATAAACTCCCTTGATCACCGGATTACACACATCCTCAACTTCCTTCAGCTTGTCATCATAATCATCCTTCCCAGCCACCCCTTCATTCTCATCCAACCACTCCAATGCTTCCTTCAAAACCCTCTCCACCTTCCCCTTGTCTTCCTCCCCAATCTTCCCTCCCACGCCATTTCCGTCACCAACCGTGCTCTTCATGTTGTACACATAGCTCTCCAGCTTGTTCCTCGAGTCGATCCTCTCCTTTAACCTCCTGTCCTCTTCCTCCATCTCTTGGGCCTCCTTCACCTTCATCTCTATCTCCTCCTGGCTCAATGTCCCCTTGTGGTTCGTGATCGTCAGCGATTGCGACTTCTTCGCCGCCTTGTCTTCAGCTGTCACGCTCAGGATCCCATTCACATCCACTTCGAACCTCACTTGGATCTGAGGCACGCCTCTTGGTGCGGGTGGGATGCCAGAGAGGTCGAATTGGCCTAGCTCCTTGCAGTCCTTGGTCAGGGCTCTTTCTCCTTGGTACACCTTGATCGATACGGTTGTTTGTTGGTCTTGGTATGTGCTGAACACTTGTGACTTCTTAGCGGGAATGGCAGTGTTCCTTGGGATCAATTTAGTCATAACTCCACCAACAGTTTCAATACCCAGACTCAGGGGAGTTAGATCAATTAGAAGTATGTCTGCAATTAATGGGCAAAAGATAGATAAATCGAGTTAGAGTATGTATGAGTAATACGAGCGAGCAGTATTAGTTAGTACGAGTTCGCGGACTACCTCGAGTGTTGGCTTGATCTCCGCCGAGGTTGCCACCTTGGACCGCCGCGCCATAAGCTACAGCTTCATCAGGATTCACACCTTGGTTCGGCTCCTTGCCATCAAACATCTCCTTGAGCAGCTCCCTAACCTTGGGAATCCGAGTGCTCCCTCCGATGAGCACGATCTCTTGGATCTCCGACTTGTTCAGCCTCGCATCCTCCATCGCCTTCTTCACGGGCCTCAATGTCTTCTTGAACAGGTCCATGTTCATCTCCTCGAACTTGGCCCTGGTGAGGGGCTCGGAGAAATCGACCCCGTCGAACAGCGACTCGATCTCGACTCGGACCTGGTGCTGGCTGCTCAGCGCCCTCTTGGCTCGCTCGCACTCCCTCCGCAGCTTCCCCAGGGCCTTGTTGTCCTTGCTAATGTCTTTCCCGTGCTTCCTCTGGATCAGCTTGATGAAGTAGTCCATTACTCTGTGGTCGAAATCTTCCCCTCCTAAATGAGTGTCGCCGCTGGTCGCCAGCACCTCGAAGACTCCATTGTCGATGGTCAGGATGCTGACGTCGAATGTCCCGCCGCCGAGGTCGAAGACCAGGATGTTCTTCTCTTTCCCCTTCTGGTCCAGCCCGTAGGCGATCGCCGCCGCGGTCGGCTCGTTGATGATTCGGACCACGTTCAGCCCTGCTATTGTCCCTGCATCCTTGGTCGCTTGTCTCTGCGCGTCGTTGAAGTAAGCTGCAAACAAATTGCCATGTACCGTTGATAAATTTACATTTGTAACGAAATTCAAATTCCTCGAGCTTAAATTAATTGTTAGCCCCTCCATCATTCAAGTTTAAACTACGATAGTTATTTACCTGGAACGGTGATGACTGCGTGTTTAACCTTCTCTCCCAGGAAAGATTCAGCAGTCTCCTTCATCTTGGTCAACACCGTGGCGCTAATTTCCTCGGGGCTAAATGTTTTGGTCTCTCCGTCTTTTCTCACTTCAACGTACGGCTTCCCGTTCTTGTTCACAACTCTGTAAGGGAGTAATTTCAAATCCTTCTGAACCTCCGGATCATCAAACCTGTAAGAAAGAAAGAAAGTTGAATTTCAATTTCAAACACACGAAACAGAGTAGTTGCAGTGGGATGAAGAATTTTCAGGATGCAGTGATTTCAGATTTGTTAATCTGTAACTTGATTACCTTCTTCCGATGAGGCGTTTGGCGTCGAAGATGGTGCGTTCTGGATTCTGAGGTGCCTGATTCTTGGCGGCCTCGCCGATGAGGCGCTCCGAGTCCGTGAACCCGACCCACGAGGGTGTGATCCGGTTGCCTTGGTCGTTGGCGATGATCTCCACGTGGCCGTTTCTCGATACGGCCACACACGAGTAGGTTGTTCCTAGGTCGATTCCGATCACCGTCCCGAGCTTCGGAGTCCCTTCTCCGTCCGCTGCCGCGGCTGCTGATGCTGCCAGAAGGAAAGCTGCATGTAAAACAACAAAGAGAAACAGAGCAAGGATTTTTAGTTTCTGATTAGAACCGAACAAAAGAGAACAGAGGCAGAAGAAGAAGAAGAAGAACAAATTAGGTGGTTTTAGTGTTTACCTGACACAATCAGAAGGATGAGTGCGAGATTGCTGGTCTTGACCGCCATTATTGCTTTCACTGGAAAGAATTTGATGGCTTGATTTTGCACTCTTCTTTCTGTTGCCTCTGTTTATTTCTGACGCTGTGTCCTAGAGGACGTATATTTATAGTAGTAGCGGGAGTTAGTTTCTTAGGCGGATTTAAATTACATAATAATTAATCTCCTAATCCTCTACAAACTAGAAAAACTCAACGAAAACACCTAACTAAGTCCCCCAATTCTAGGCCATCACTAACCCCAAGCGGAGTACATATGAGATTTGTGCCACATCAGCCACCGCAAGGCAGCCCTTAATTGGCGGAGGGGCATTTGTGCCAAAGCAGTAATAATTTCTTGGGACTGTTAAATTGAGGCCCGCTAAAAAATTAAACGGGAGCTATGAACAGGCATCTTAATATACTTGAAGCAATCCCTGTCTACTTTAAACCCATCCCTTTCCTTCGTATGAAGAAACCACAAACCATCACAAATCACACAATAAGCTACCACCGATTCCAGATTCAAAATACCATATTCACACAAAATCCCAGATTTTTAACCCCTTCGGCATCCGCAAAATTTTCAGAAATGTAAAACCATCATAATCGTCCATACCAAACTAAACCCCCAAATTTCATAATCTCACACTCAAAAGAAGCCAAAGATACAAAATTTCATATCATTAAAATTCTCTAAGCGAGCATAGAAATTCAGAACAAAAACAAACAACATAAACCCATAAATAAGCATACCTAGACCAAGTGACCATTTTCTTGTCGGCATCATCGTCGCCGCCGGCGACACTCAGATGTGTCGGCGGCGACTCCTCTTCTCCCTATTTTTCCATTACTCGTCGACCTCTAAAAAAAAAAACAAGAAACAAAAAGTAATCAGAAACCAAGACCCCATCTTAAACACAAAGAAAAACTAAAAGTCACAATCCGTCGGATTTACCGTCGGACTCCTTCTCGTTTCGACGTCGCCGGCGTCCTTCCCAGTCGTCGTTGTATCCTTCTTTCCTCGATCGATGGCAGAACCCCAATAGAACCAAAAAAAAAAAAAACTATAAAAACCCAAAATCGAAATTGAACCTCCGAAACCAACATGCAAACAAAAAAAACCTACCTTTGACCTTTTTCTTCGCCGTCGTCATCATCATCGTCGGCGTTGGTGCAACCATCCTCGTCGCCGTCAGGTGGTAAAAGAGGGTTCGTTCCCTCTCCTCTCCTGACCCCTCGCCGATTCCGAAAAGAGAGAGAGAGAGACGGAGAGACGGAATGGGAGATGAAACGAGAGGAAGAAGAAGCAAATCGACAGAGGTGGAGAATAGAATGCGGCTAGGGTTCCATTTTGGAACGTTCTAGTTATTTTATACACCGTCTGTAAAGACGAAACTACCCCTCTTATTTTCTAAATTTACCCGCTGCCATTATTCATCAGTAACCGAAAAAAATCAAAATATAAATCATTGGGCAGTTTCAAACCATCGAACTCTAGTACACAAAATCGACAAAATCAACAACTTGAACCACTAGGTTGGTCACCCGCCACTTTCATGTCACTCTGCATTTTAACTCTTCAACATCCATAATACGTAAAATTTAATTGCGATCGAAATTTTTTTTTTTTTTTCAAAGTCAGTGTTGAAAAGATAGTCACAAGGAGGAAGAAAGAAAAACGCGGGAGTCGACCAATAGTCGAACTCCCGATGAGAGGGCCTTTTGTGCCACATGATGGGCAGCCAGCCCTATTGAGTCAACGAGAAACAAAGCAGTAAGAAATCCAACTGAAATGAGAAGCTAAGCTCCGAGTATCCTCCAGTAGAGCTCCACCCCGATCATGCGCCAAGTCGCCTCCCACCATCCCGCCTTATCAATTGTTGTGAATCCCCATGAAAGTTGACAAAGACAAAGGTCCCCGATCGACTATTGTGCAATTGAATTTTCACCTGCAAAATGAGCAAACAAAGGTCCCTACTAGGAGAATCCCGACCAAAGAGCCAACAAGTCAACAAAGACACAAGGCAGCAATTCGCCCTTGAAATAGAGTACCAGGTCATAGGGTAATCCTAGATAACCGACACCGGCCAATGCACACCTTTTTTTTTAATAAAAGATTACAACCTAAATTTAGAAAAAATAATTAAAAACAAATAAAGTATGAAGGATAATTATTAAGGGAAAGAAAGAAATAATAATAATAATAATAATAATAAAGAATAATAGAATATAAAAAATAAAAAAGAAGAAGAAACGCTTACCTGATTTGGATTCTAACGTGGTGTGGGGGTGGGGAACTACGGTTCCAATTCCCAACCAATTAATGGGAGAAAAGAATAATAGAAAATAAAAAATAACGATCTATTTCCCCACTCCCGTTACCGTAACCGTCCTTGTTTCTTCGGTTCCTAATCCGGCGGATCTCAACGACGGCACGCTTCTGAATCGGCGCCGACAGTGTCTCTCCCGTCGTGGACTCTTCATGTAGATGCCCCTTGCTGCTGTTGCTACTGCTGTAGTTCGGAGAAAGAAGCCGGGATTGCAGCGACAGGAGAGCACAAGCCGATGGAGAGGAAGAGGCGTCGCCCATTCTGTGCAGATCTGAAGGGAAGAAACAATGTAAGAAATAGGGAGGAGAGAGGGGATGACTTACAGTTGCCAGTCGGGATGATTCGAGAAAAAGGAAAGGGCAAGAGATCGAGGAGCTCTGTAACTCCAGCCGGCGTGGACGGTCGGTCGGAGTCGGCAACGTTGTAGGCTCCAGAGGACAACCCAGCAGATTGAACTCTGATCCTATTTCGCCTCCCAGGTGGTGCTGGTGCAGTGCTGTCTACAAAGACCTTGTTCGAACAAGCGCGGAAAGACTCACAATCTTGGACAAAGCTGGACGAGAAACTGGCCGAGAGAGGGAGAAGCTTCGAGAGGGAACGGAAAGAGAACTGGATTTGGGAAACGATCGCGTTATCTAGCCATCTCTCTAAACTCCGCTCCGTTACAGGCCGCAAGCAAAACTTTCCTCAAGTTTATCAGACAGCCGCATCGAAAGTCGATCATTCGCCGGAATCCGGGCCGGAGGCGCTAAACTGAGGATACATTCCTCGTTGCCCGAGACGCTGGACTGAATTCGCTCGCGCGCCGGCGAGAACTCAATTGCGATCGAATTTTTAGTTTAGGATTAATTCGATTACCCCAATACCCATTGGATATCTAACATTCAATCATTGTGTGATGATTGATTTTTGCTATGTCAAAACACATATTTTTCCTTAACAACTCTTTTAAAAAAATCATGGTCAATAGACTGTGATAATCGTTCACGGTGAAACCCTTTCAAAAGTCACTTATTTCTCAATCAATAAATTGAAACATCTTAAATTCATTTTGTAACAACGCAATTATCATCTTAGCCACGATCAATAGAACATGTTAAGATCAAAATCACTATTTTTTTACAAACGAACTACGTGGACTTTGATCCCCACTAAGTCGGGTATGTAGGCAACCAATAGGTTCGGGTCCAACTAATTATAAAACTCTTTCTTTACCTTTCGAGATTTACGTCAATAGTCATAATGATCGAATCGTATATTAATAAATATCAAATTAAATCAAATAATATAATTAAATGCACAATAATGCACAAACAATAACACACCCAACCCTTTTAAAATTTATCGATTTAAGAAGTACCCATTTGGGGTGTTGTGGGGTGTGAATACACTTCCCTACACGTAACTGTACTCCCGAACCCGAATTTCTAAAATTTCGTAGACCAAAATCCTGGTTCTGTCCCTAAGGTCGGAAACGGACCAAATGAGTGTTCGATCCATTCCAAGTAAGATCGATGGCGACTCCGAGCAAATCGCGACGGATCCTCCAATTCGGATGGGAGGTTGCGACAGTATTTTGTTGAGAAAGATAGTGTTTACTTGTTGGGTTGGGATTAGTTTACCTTATTCGTTACTTTAGTTTCTTATTAGAACCGAACAAAAGAGAATAGAGGCAGAAGAAGAAGAAGAAGAAGAACAAATTAGGTGGTTTTAGTGTTTACCTGACACAATCAGAAGGATGAGTGCGAGATTGCTGGTCTTGATCGCCATTATTGCTTTCATTGGAAAGAATTTGATTGCTTGATTTTGCAGTGTTGTTTCTTTTGCTCTGTTTATTTCTGATGTTGTGTCCTAGAGGACGTATATTTATAGTAGTAGCGGGATTTAGTTTCTTAAGCGGATTTAAATTGTGTAGGCTAGCGTGTCTGTCGAATCAAAAAATGTCACGTCATGTATTAACATTGTCAGATTCTTGTGTAAAACCCTTTTCTTATTATACTTAATTGCCTATTGCATCTATCCATATGCTACCTTAAATACATAATAACTAAACTACTAATCCTACAAACTAGAAAAACTCAACGAAAACACCTAACTAAGTCCCCCAATTCTAGGCCATCACTAACCCCACTAATCACATCCTAATCATCTCTAACAACCCATAATTAATTAACAATTATAAATTAAATAAGTGCACATGACATCCCATCCCCCTTGAAACGATTCTTGACCACAAGAATCAGCCAAGGACGTCGCTCGTCTTCTTCAACTGGAATCTCCATAGAGCATGAGCCACCATAGTTGAGATGCTAAGGTCCCATTGTCAAAGTTTGCTTCTGCTAGCAAAGTAACCCCCACCAAATAATACCAAGTATTGTGAAAATCACCAAAGAACTTTGCTTTTCAATTTCTTTGAACGTCCCCTGCACAATTGAAGTTGGTCCTGATTTCATCAACGTGACAGCAAGAGAAGAGGCTTGATATTCTGAAATTTTTGGTGCATTGCTATGTTTTTGAATAACCATTGGCCCGAGCACCGTTTTCATTTCGCCGGTAGCATCGATCTCTTCCTTGAGCAATTGGGGCCAATTGATTTTGGCCTTGAGTTGGTTGCCGCTTCCTACCCCGTTGGTGCCATTGACGAGCTGCATGTTGGATTCCTTCTTCTCCCGCAATGCTAGCAATCGATCGAACCTCTCATTGAGAGCAGCAAAACCTTCCCGCATCACCTGCCTCAACATGTCGTTCTCTTGCACCATCGCCTCCAGCATAGAATCAAGTGATTTTGCTCGAACCTCCATTGTCGTAGGATCAGCCGGCTCTGATACCAAATGTTACGTGGCCTTTTCGGAGAATAGAATTTAGGGAGAAATATCGGGATAGGAAGAAGAGAATGGAGGAGATATAGATAGATTGAAGAAGAGATAAGTGTTCTCCTTAATGGCGAGAACAGAACCCCTAAACCTTTTCGAGGAAAGCCAACCTCCAACAAGACTCTCGTCTTTTACATTTTTTCTTCTCTGCCTTCTTCAATCGGATCTACATTCTTAAATACTAAACCTACAGCTAATCTAATTAAAAATTAGGGAGTTAACCGATAATACTCCCCTTAATTTTAGTAAAACCACTAACACACTAATCCCACTTACCCACGTCTAGCTAACAATCAATCCTAATTAAATAAAATATAAACAAATTACATAACATTCCATCTCCCTTCGAAAGATTCTTGTCCCAAGAATCGGCCATGAACTTCGTCGAGAAGCAACAGTTGGGTGGCGACAGACCCGGCGGAGGGAGGGGCTTCATCAGCGGGGATGGTAGAGTTGTCGTGGAGGAGAAGGCATGACCGATGTTGCTGGCGGTGCTGAATCGGCTGCGGCGGCTGGCCTGGGTCAAGGCCATCAAGAGGCTGATAGCGCTGGTGTGGAGGAGGCATGGGAGTGATGAATCGACGGCGACGGCTGGGACAAGCCTCCAGGAGGAGGAGAGTGACTTTGCTCGTAGGGAATTGCACTAAGCCTTGTTTATCACTGGTCCTTATCTTGATGGACTAATATATTGATAGGTTACTAGAACTAAGAGGAAGCAAGAGTACCAGTAGGAAGACTGTTTCAGAAATGAAGAAGAATAAGAAGGGTAACATTGAGGGGGAAGAAAGGGAGATAGAGAAAGGTGGATTGGATACAATCGGCTCTGATACCAAATGTTACATGCCCTTTTCGGAGAATAGAATTTAGGGAGAAATATCGGGATAGGAAGAAGAGAATGGAGGAGATATAGATAGATTGAAGAAGAGAAGTGTTCTCCTTAATAAATAAAAAAAAGAAAACAAAACAACAACAAAAAAGGAAAAAAAACAGAGAAGAAAAATGTAAAAGACGAGAGTCTTGTTGGAGGTTGAAGAAGACGTACAAAGAGCAAGGCTGATTCTTGGGGTCAAGAATCTACCGTTGGGGGGGGGGGGTGGAATGTTATGTACTTTAATTACTTTTATTTAATTAAGTGTCTCGGCTGTTAATTAGAATTAGGAGTAAGTGTTATGGGTTGTTAGACGTGAGAGAGTGGGTTAGTTGCTAGCTAGGATTAAGGACCTTTAATTACACACCTACGTGTTAATTTGGGAGGTTGGCTTTCCTCGAAAAAGTTTAGGGGTTCCGTTCTCGCCATTAAAGAAAACACTTCTCTCTAAATCTATATATTCCTCCAATCTTCTTATTCCTATTCCAATCTTTCTCCTAAATTCTATTCTCCAAAAAGGGCACGTAACATATTGCTTTCACTGGAAAGAATTTGATTGCTTGATTTTGCACTGTTCTTTCTTTTGCTCTGTTTATTTCTGACGCTGTGTCCTAGAGGACGTATACTTATAGTAGTAGCGGGATTTAGTTTCTTAAGCGGATTTAAATTGTGTAGGCTAGCGTGTTCGTCGAATCAAAAAATGTCACGTCATGTAATAACGTTGTCAGATTCTTGTGGAACCAGCTTTGGCGGGAAAAACCTCACAACGAGTTATTACTTCTCGGGCCTCGGCGACGGATTTGAATTTGATAATACGTGCAGAATTAGAAGAAATGGGCGAAAGTCGGGTCGGAGAGATTCATTGGGCTTAGAATTAGCGAATCCGGTTGGACTCTGGTGAAGGGTTGCGTTTGCGGGCCTGAAATTTCGAGGGCGATTGCCCAACTGAGCTGGGCTTTTGTTTTTAGTTTGGGACACAAGAACCTATTTCATTTGGGCTTAGGAATGATATTTGGGACCTGAATCTCGTCTCGGTGTCCCAATGTCGTCGCCTTTTGTTTTAGCTCTAAATTTTAATCGATCTTGGTACTCGGAGTCGGAGGTGAAACAAGGCAGCTGTTAGCCATTTATTTTTCCACGGAGTTATCTAGACCGATTTAGAGAACACTCTTTCCTTGTCGGAGGATTCCAGATTGTTGGATTTGGAATTATGAAGCTTTCTGGTGATGAATATACCTAGGTCGGCAAGCAAGAACATAATCCTATTGCCAAAAGATTAGAATTTTTTTCATGAATGGGGCATGATTAACTAAGTTTCCTGATAGTTTTGCAAGTACAGTAGTTCCAGAGGTTCATTTTGATCACTGTGGTCTACTGCTCAATTAACTTCTGATAAGAAAACACTGTCCAAACTCTAAAACTTTCTAGTTATTTAGATTTTGGAGTGAGCAATCCAGATAGAAATTTTTTAGGGCCATCCCCATTACTGTGAACAAGAAGCCAAAGTGGTTGCTTAATATGTGATGTTTCAGAAGGTAGAAGAGGAGTCATATAAAACAAAAAGAAAGAATTCAAGCAACTTAGAGGGAAATCATAATTATGCTTATTTCCACCATTCTTTAACCCTCTGTTTTTTTTTACGAAGGAAAAGGGGGTGAAGGAAAGATTTTGATGGGAAATTAAATTCCCAATGCATTTTCCGTTGTTTCTGAAAGAAGGGGGGACGGGAAAAGAAACGAAAATCTACGGTACAATCAATCCCTCCAAAAGTGAGAGAAAAACAATACCATCATATTTTAATTTGGCCATCTCTCACCTCTCTCCTCTCTCTTTCTTTTCCCTCTTCTCCTTCTTCGTGCCTCCCCGAAACAGCAGATGAAGGTTTTCTCATCTCCATCTTTGCTCAATCTTTGATTTATCTCTATACTGTAGATAAACAAAAAAAATCATGGGATGAAAGCTCTCTCCTTCTCTGCCTAATCGATCTGGTCTTCATCCCCCTCTCCAAAAATCACCATCAACCCCCCAACAAAATCTCCGGCTAAGCTTCAATTCTGCATTCTTCTTTACCGACGAATCAGTTCCAACAGTCAGCACCTATCTTTAGTTTGATAAGAATCTGTACTGAATCCTTGTTTTACCCCAAAAAACCCATCAACTTTCCTTTTCCCCCAAATCAGAGCATCTAGGGTTCATATATAATTTATTTCATCTTTCTTTTGTACAGGATTTTGCTTTTGTTGTTGGGCCTTCTGATTAAACGTCTCTCCTGATTATTCTGTTTCCTTGGAGGTCCTGCTATCAGAACGACAACATAGCTGGAGGTAATGTTGCTCTACTGCTTCTGTGGACTGCTTTATAATATTTTGATTCATGCTACTGCTTTTTATTTATGTGTGTATCCTAATTAACCGAGCTGTATGATGTTTTGAATGGCGGCATAGTTGATCTACCTCTAGTTATTCTTTCTTTGCAGCTGTCGACTAGAAATTAGTGCTTATATGAACTCTGCTGCCCATGAATCATTGTTCTTTGTTTGGAATAAATAAAGCTTTCAATTAGTTAGTTTCCCATGGTAAAAAAAACATGAGGGCGAGAGTAGTTAGGACTTAGGTAGGTAGCTAGCTAGTATGGTCTCCATCCTTGGCACTTTAGCATAATTTCACAAACGTATGGAAAAGGAACAGGGTAAGAAAGTGACAAAGAAATGGGGGTAAGGTTTATGGCCAAACTTAAAACAAATGGGGAAAGATAAGACATGTCAATTTTATTTAGGTTTGGCCTCACTAGAACCGGAATTTTCCACGATTATTCTTTCTTTTACTTTTGGATGTTGTTCTTGACTGAACCATTGATTTTATTTTTAATTTGAAAAGGAGGGGTATGGAACGAAAATTGCAGGTGAAAGAACACTATAAAAGATATAGAAAGTCCAGATTGATGGCTAAATAGGTTTGTAAGAAGATTGGGTATAATTCCCACACAACCTTTGAACCTTGTTATGCGTTGCAAAGCTTGAAAGTTTTTTTTTGGGTAAGCGCATAGCTTGAAAGATTGTAACTATGTTTATAGTTTTTCCTTTTAGACCAAACAAATTAATGATATCAATATCATCTAAAAGGGTGTAAACAACAAGATTTAGTCACTCAAGTTCTTAATTTGTCGGTGAATGTAATGAATAATATGTGTTTCTTGACTCTATTTTACAACATCAGCATAACAACTTAATCATAATGTACATCTTGGTTAGATAGATAGAGAAGCTCAAGATTCGAATGAGATCGAAGAGCATATTGCTGATGGTTTGGAAGAGATTTTAGATTTGCATGGAACAGAACAAGATAGTTGGAGAAATGTTATGGAAAATTGGCAGAGACAAAGAGATATGTGTGTTATCCAGCTTATTTGCTACATTGTTTTTGCATTGCATCTATTAAATAGTCAAGCCTCTAGTGGATCTTTGAGTTATCAAGTTAGAGAAGATAAAAAGAGCGAGTTTTTGCAAGAATAACGTAACCAAGAAGCTGCATGTCGTCTCATATTGCGCATGGGAGTAAATGCCTTTGCTCTATTCTGTGAAAAATTACAAGGTACAAGAGTGTTGCAAGATTATAAGCGTGCCACTGTGGAAGAGCAATTAGCGAGGTTTTTGTCTATTCTTGCCCAAACTGATGGCAAGTATCGCACTTTGGCTTTCTATTACTTCCGAAGTATTGGGACTATTAGTAGGCATTTTCATAATGTCTTGCAAGCCGTGATAAGTTTGGCACCTGAATTCTTGAAGCAACCTAATGCAACAACGCCAGTGTCTTCCAAAATCGCCAATAACTGTAGATTTTTCCCTTACTTCAAGGTAATGTCTCATCACTTGCATTGTATAATGTAGTTCAATTCCATAAGGCTTCCTTCAAAACTTGTGTACTTAGATGTATGCATACATATTTTCTTAGGATTGAATTGGTGCTATTGATGGAACCCACTTTCGGGTGAAAGTAAATAGTGCTGGTCAAATTCGTTTTAGAGGTCGAAAAGAGTGGCCTACACAAAATGTTTTAGCTGCATGAACCTTTGACTTGCAATTCTTATACGTTTTAGCTGGGTCGGAAGGGACTTCTGATTCGAGGATTTTAAAAGATGCATTGACTAGACCACATGGGCTTGTTATACCAGAAGGTATGGCATAACCATTCTTCAAGGGGAGGCATCGACTAAGGAGAATCTATGTTGGACCGAGGATATGGATACCGCATTGCTGGAAGCCTTTATAGCCGAGCAACGCAAGGGGAATAGGCAAGAAGGCACATTCAATTCTCATGCCTACAATAATGTTGTTACTACTTTGCGTGGACTGTTTCCATTTAATTTCGACAAGGAGAAAATTATAAATAGGCAGAAGATGTTGAAGAAGCACTTTGCAATTGTGAAAGACTTATTCCACAACACAAGTGGTTTTGCATGGAGTCCGGTAACTAAAATGTTTACAGCTGAACCGGAAGTATGAGAGCCCCTAATCGAGGTATATGATCTATTCTCCCAACATAAGTTATTACACTTCATTTTATAGTTACTATGGTAGTGGTTGCAAGTGAGGGTAAGGGAAATAACTATAAAACTAATTGTTGTGATGCAGGAGAATCCAAGTGCTAGCAAATGGGTCAGGACACCCATCAACAACTATGATAAGATGTTTGAGTTGTATGGTGAACATAGAGCAACCGGAGATGGAGCTGCGAGTGCATTTGAGAGGATCGATTGTTGGAATATGAGGAATTCAGCATTCAACATTGATTTGAATGACACAGAAGATGACGAAGGTATGAATGCCTATACTCCTTCACCTTTTACACCTCGTGAAGGGACAAATGCATATAGCTCTGATGGTAGATCTGCTTTCACTCCTGATCCTTCACCATCAGTCGACTCTCATGGAACTGCCTCTTTAAAAGGAACCAAAAGAAAAGCAACTATGGGAGATGTATTTGTCAACCAGCTAGAGGTAATGTCTACCAACATGAGTAGAATGGCAGCAGGTATAGAGATGGGGAATATGATTGCTGAACGTTCTGCCAAGGCGATGGAGAAAGGAAACAAGATTAAAGAGAAGTCATTGGTGATCCTTGAACACCAGAAGACTCACATCTACAAAGAGGGAGAAATTTCTCAAGAATTGCAGCGTTATGACATTCCTGCAGAAATGAGGTTGAATGATTATAAGTACTTGTCCAAAAATCCGGGGACCACAAGGGTTCTATTTGGCTTGCCAGATGAGTACCGCCAGCAGTTTGTTGTTGATTTGGCGATAAAGCAAGCCTTTTGGCAAGTTTACTTCTGAAGTAGTATGAAGGTGTTTTGTTTTGTATAACATGATGTATGCGGAAGTATTAGCAAGTCGCCTCATTTTGGACGAATTTATGTGCGTCTAGTACTAGCAGGTAACTTTTTTTGGACGAATTCGGGTATGTATAATGTTAGCAGGTGACCTTATTTGGAACGGATTTATGTTTGTCGGCAGATGACTTACTTTTGGACGGATTTGCGTATATCCAATATTAGCATGTCGTTTTATTTTGGACAAATTGATATATGTCTAGCATTATCATGACCTTATTTTTTACATATTTGGGTAATGTTAGGACTTTTTTGCATCTATAACCTATATATATACCAAAGAATAAAAGCGAGAGAATTAGAGCAAAATAATGCCAACTAGCTTCTGGTGATGATATGGTGAAATAGAGACGGGGATCAAGTGTGGTATTTATCGAAAAGAAACCGTTTGGTTTGTTCAAGTTTGCGAACTTGTTATTGGATTTTGGTTGCGATAAAAACTTGCTGACCTGCTTATTGATCGAGAAATCACACTCGATTATATAGAAAGCTTCACCATAACGATTGTGCATTCTTCCAGGTGTAAGAATTCCCTTTCGTTTCCGTTTTATCCAATTTTTGTATTAAGAACGCGTTGTTCTTTATTCGAGTTCAATTCAAAATAGCAGCACCACTGGAAGGCTTCGAAGCAAACACATAGAGGCCCAGATCGCTCTTGTTGATCGCCCCTTTTTCTATTCTCGACTGGTAGAACTTATCCTGGACAAAGAACAAAGCAAAACAAGTAGCCACCGAAGTTAAATATGTTTATCATTACTATCAACTTTCGTCAAAACAACATTAGCATACCTTCAAGTTAAGGATGAACTGTGGGACAATGGCTTCCTTCACCAATGCAACTGCACAACCGCCCCATCCAGCTCCTGTTAGCCTGGCCCCCAAGGCTCCATGATCACGGCAGACTTTTACGAGTTCTTCCAACTCCGGGCAACTGGTGAGTGAAGGTTGAAGAGGAGAACATCATGTGATCAGAGGAATGAGTGTGGTTCGTTGATATTTTGCGATTATAGAACATTTGGAGTTCTATTGAAAGTTCAGATTTGCGCTAATGATCTGACTGCCGAAGTTGGCATGCATATAACGAGTACAAGGTGACAGATTATGTACCTGCATTCATATAGAACGCTACAGCTGTGGTGGCTGGCGTTCATCAGCTCACCTAGCTTCTTTAGCTTGTCCTCATCCCTGTAAAAAATAACTGTTCTTTGTGAGTTACATGCTCAACATGTGAAATGCCATCACAACAAACACCAACATGGAAATGTGCTAATATTAATAGGCTAAATCGAGTCTGCAATTAAACAAGATCGTGGGTGGAAGACTGCATACTTGAGATTTGCCACCACGGTATCCTTGAAAGTGTGCACCCGCTTGGCTTCAGAGTAAACATGGGCTGCCCTCTGTGATACAAGAATGACCCAACGTGTAAGGCTTGATAAGTTATTAGAACCAGGTAAATAGATGAAGCAGAAGTCCCACAGGTTTGTGCTGTCAAAGAGTTCGATTAAATGAAAATCCTAATGGGAAATTTATGACATTGTACTCAGGAAGATGCAAGAGTTCAAGCAGAGCAAAATAGTTCATTAAGCGGAATGTAATTGTAAGCTTCCCTCCATTTATTTTTTCAATTTCTTTTCGCATACCTGATGCAACTTGAAGTTCTTGGCGGCCTTTAGCACCTCCAATGAGGATGCAGAACTGCTTAATGTAGTTGTAAGCTTCTCTCCAGTTATTTTTTCGATTTCTTCAGCTGTATAAGGTTCTTCTTTCAAGAACTCCTGCAGCAGTAGTGAAAACAAATGATTCACAGTAACTAGCAGGGTACAAACGAAAAATGGCAATTTTCATGACAATGAAGACCAAACAAGTGGAGGGTTAATAGTGATACCTTAACGGCAATAACAGGATCAGGAGAACCACGTTTGCCAGCAAAAGATACACACAACCCTTCTACATCAGAAAGGGTATCGACTTTTGATCTTGCCTCCTCTGGTTTCATTCCGAGCTTTATCCCAAGTATGATCTGATAGATATGCAAACCAAACAGCAAAGTGATGACGGATCACAGATGGGTATGGATTTCCTGCGCTCCAAATCTACAATTCTGTTTCGAGTTTCGTCCTGACCAAACCCCCTAGGAAAGGAAAACTGACAGACCCAAATATGAATGGAGAAAAGAAGAGGGGAAATGCTTACAGAAGCTAAGCGGCATTCAACAACTCTGTTATTGTAGTTAGTTGCAGCAGTGACAGCCTTTTCAGACTCTGCCAAAGAGTGGGCAATCACAAAAGTACCACCATCGGGCAGATGCACATCAGTTGCTCGAACAGGGTTGAAATCTATAAGTTCAGCAAATCCAGACTTAGCCATTACAGAGATCGCCTGCCAAGTAACTCATTGTCAAATAGATAATCCCAACAACAGAGAGGCTAAGCCAGCATCTAGTAGTCTCCCATATGAAAATCTCAGGCATAAGCTATACACAACTAGAAATGTTGATTCAGATAATATATAGACTTAACAAACCTGATCCATTCCTCCAGATTGAGTTCCTATATGCCTTTCACAATCACACGTCAACTGAGCAACTTCTTTCTGCACAAGAGTAACCAATTTGAACTGTAACTCTAGAAGGCAGCTAAGAACAAAATGCAAACAAAAGCCTCCAAATCTTTATTCTGGTTAGTTTACCTTTGGAATGCTGACACCAAAAGCAGCCATAATTGCAATAGTAGCAGAGCAAACAAATGCAGCAGAGCTCGAAAGTCCGGACCCTGAATCAACTCGTACAGTCTAAGTTCCCAAAAATGGAGATTAACCCACAAAGAACTGAACCCACAGTGCCAACGTAAATAACATACCAGTTGGAACAGTTCCATCAATCATAACATCAAGCCCAACTGGGACTCCAACGTCCATCCCTTTAGTTTTGGCGTATTCATAATAACCTTTGTATCTGTAAAGCACATCGGGTAAGCCATCAACTAAATCACAGCAAACACCATAATTGGGAAGAGAAACAAACTTAAGGTTCTCCAAGTCTCCCACTCACCCACAGATGAAATAGTGGCCCCATCTGTGATGTTTCAAGTCAATTTCCTGCACCAAATCCAAAATCATGATGCCATTCTTTTTCTCCCTGAAGTCAATTTCTAATGATTATTCTGGAAATTTACCTGGTTAGGATCCGCAGGGTAAGTGCACGTTGCATACTTCTCCTCGTTGACATTCGCGATTCGAAGAAGCTTCTCCGCCTCCGATGGAGACCGCTTACGAATCGCCACGATCGTGTCCTGCCGAATCGCCATTGGCAGCACCGAGTAGCCTTCATAGTCGATGTGCTCCCCAATCAAATTTACTCGTCCTGCCGAACAAAACAAGCAAACTCGCAAACCAACTCGTCAGTTAGTGCACCGCCGAGTTCTGTCACTCCGACTAGCGGTTATTTCCTTTCTCGCGGCCAATCGAGGAATTGGGAGAGGAGAATTTCATGGACCTGGAGCGCGGGCGTAGAGGTCAGGGGGATGGCCGAAGACTTGGAGAAACTTGGACTTCAACTTGTCGAACCGGAGCTGAGCTTCTTCCCGTTGAGAATCGCCGCCGTAGACAGGATCGAGGGAGGAGAAGATCGGGACCGGCAGCTCGTCGTGCTTCGCCGCCATTATTGGAGCTTAGTTTCCGAGCAATTTTTTCGCCGCAGAGATGAATTGAACTGATTACTTCGACAAGAATTTGTTGGGAGCAGATGGAATCAAACAAAGCGCCGCTCGCTGAGAACTTATACGAGAAATTCAAGTAACTGCTCGTCCAGTTTTTTCTTTTTTTCTTTTCATTTTATTATCTAATTCTTATTTCCTCATTTTATTATTTGCAGAATAAAATAATTATCAGATGGTAGGGTGTGCAATGGTTTGGTCCGGACTCCGGACCCAACTTATGAGATTACGGTTTATTTATTATTAATGAATGACATCTTAAGATCAAAGATCGTACCATTTTTGCATTTGATTCATTTGATTCGGTTTGGTCCGGTCAAAATATATGTTCAGTCCATCATTCCTTTATTAATTATAAAATTTATGAAAAGATCGAACCGTACTATACCCATTTCAGTCAGTATGGCGATTAGTGCATGTCTGCATGATTAATTTTCAAAATTAAGATGTTTTATCTCATTAATTCATTTTCCACCATTTTTATTTAGATTTGATTTGACGTTGATTTTGAAATGGATACAGAGGAAAATGAGGATTGAGATGGAACCTGATTTTCATAACTGTAAAGTCTCCTGGAACTTTTCTTTGTAAAATATCAGTTTAGAAACTTTATTCTCTTTCTCCAAAAAAAAAAAGAAACTTTATTCTCGCTTTTTTTCATTGGGCGGTTGGGCCCGTTTTTAGCTGCGAATTTCAGGGCCCAGCCTCAACTGCTCAATTGTATGATTAACTGATCCACTTACTTCCCGTCCACGTTTAGAACTAGGATCCAGGGATTAAGAATTTGCCAATTTCGTATATACACTTTCACTTGCTTACTAAATGGTCATCATATTTTCATGTTTTATTTTGCACGTCACCAATTTGTATACGCTGGCGAGTGGTGACTGGTTTAATTGTGAAGTAGAAATTGAGCGGGTCTGGACAGGAATAGGACAATCCTCGTGTCTCCACCGCCAGGGGTTGATCAATGAAGTGGAACGGTGGGAGCACTAATGGGCAATGGCGAGGTGTGTAAAAATTATGGTGATCATGAAACCGACGTGAATATTACGGATATAACGGGAATGATCGATTATTTTGTTCGTAAATAATAGAGTTAATTGCATGGTTGGTTAATGAAATTACAAAAAACATTCAACTTTGGTGACTTGAAATATTTAAATCCATTAGTGGTACTTCGGTTTACTGAAATCGTTCACGTTTGGTCACTCGCCGTCCAACTCTGTTAACTTTTGCTGATGTGGCAGTCAACTTTCAAAGTTGACCGTTAACTTAGTGACGTGACAATTAAAAAATAAAAAATAATATTTAATATATTTTAATGTCCAACTCATTTTTACCATAAATAAATAAATAAAATAAAATAAATAGTGAAAAAATAGACTGGTGCCCAAAAACAGAGAAAGACGGTGACAAAGACAAATATTTCTCTCGCTTTCCATCTTCTCCGGTCGTCCGATCGATCAAACGAACAAGTTGAGCAGCTTCTTCTCCTC